GCATGTATAGACGAGTGCCAACAGTTTCGGGGTATCGCGTGGCCCAAACTTTTCTCCCTCTTGTTTTCTAATTTTTAGAAGTGAGGGGAGTGCTTGGCCACCCCACTCTGAACTTTCTTTTTTTTTTTTTTTTTTTTTTTTTTTTGGATGCGCTGCATCACGTGCAGCGCATCTCATGCGCGTGCGCTTTGCGCCACATGTGCCGCGCCCCCGCGCATGAGATGCACCGCAAGTATGATTTTTTTACTTGCAGCAAAAAAATTTGAAAAATTGGCTCCGCGTCTAGTTTTCCCACCGTACAGTGCACACAGCGTATGTGTGGTGCACCACGCATGCACACACAATTAGAATCTGCAGCGAACATCCAGCGTCCACCAACTTGCCACCTAAAGAGTAGGAGATTGGCCAGGAGGCTGAGCGCCCCCTCGAACCCCCTGCAGGCCCGGGTGGGCAAGGCCCAAGCGAGCTGCCAGGCAATCTCAACACAAAATTCAGAAAGGCCAAAAATTCAAAAAAATCAGAAAAAAAAGGTATAAAATGGCAATTCAAGCAGGGCCAGCTCTAAAACCCCGCTGAATACCTCCCGAGTCCCAACCACCTCCACTGACCCTTTGCCAAATTGGAAGATGAGAACACATTCTGACTGCTCCGCCCCAGCACAGACCTGGCAGGCAGCCATATGCTATTGTTTTTTAAGTCAACCCTCCAGATGCCTTATCGGTCATCCGATGCCCCGCCCGAGCCGCACAAGCCCAAGCCAGCAGAAAGATCCACCTTTTAGCCGGTTTTGAAAACTTTGCAGTGTCTGCAGTGGCTGGCTGACATTGCCACTCCGCACCAGAGCTTGTCCCGTCAGTGTCCCGTTTGTTCTTGCAGCTGTGTGCTTGAGTACGGATAGTATGAGCTACACCAACACCTGAGATGTGTCCCTCATAGCAGCGCGACAAATGACTGTCCCCTGTGAGTGGCTGACAAAGAACTTTGCACCGTGTTGCTACGGGGGGGTGATGTCAGTCACCTCGGCAAGCCATTTCCAAGTGTCAAATTTTGTGAGAGACTACCCCTGGTTGCCAGCAGGTCTTGCTCCCTGCCAATAGGACGGCTACTCAGTAGTGTATGAGCGGATCTCCGAAAATCTGAGATACAATTTAAAAGACAAAAACGAACAGAAGATGACATTTCAAGTGGGTGAAACCATGGGCGAAACAGCTCACAATCTTACCTTAAGCAGGAACGACCCACAACCTTAGCTGGCTGCACGCCGTGCACGGCAGGCAAAAAGCAGCACACCTTTCCTTGGGCAGGAACAGCACACTGCCTTGCCTTGGGCGGAAGCAGCACTCCAAGAAGCATTGCTGAACCGCTGCACACCGTCTTGTCTTGGAAAGAGTCAGCACAGCAGGGCACATCGGTGTGCTACAGCACACCGCCTTGTCGTGGCCAACAGCAGCATACCAAGGTTCCTTGCTGTGCGGCTGCACACTGTTTTGGCTTGGGAAGAACCAGCAAACAACGTGCACTGGTGTGCTGCGGCACAACACCTTGTCCACCAAAAGTGCCTTGATATGCTGTAGCACGCTGTCTTTCCTAAGCAGCACATTCATGCCTCGGCAATAGGCAGCACACCAAGCTGCCTCCGGGCACTTCGACATATGAGCAGAACAACTTGAGGTTCTTTCCCTTTTCTCTTTTTCTAGTGACCCGGACTACATGTGCGTCCTGATGCCTGTCCGTCTTGTCTATATTTTTGTGACCCGGAATAGATGTGCGGCCGGACACCTGTTCGTGTCGCCCATCCATACAGACAACACGGACGGCCCAGAGGGGTTACAGAAATCCAGCCTGGTAGCCTGGCTTTTCTTTTCTTATTTCTAAAATCCATGGGTTTGGCCGAGTGCCTAACGGGCTGGGCACGCAGGTAGACTAGTTCACAGACCAAAACACCCATTTATGTGGTGCAGCATTCCACAATGCTGTGCGCCATTCTACGAACACAGCCGTTGCATGGTCATGCTTGCAGAAAGAGAGATTCAAACAGAAGAAGATCGCTTGAAAAAAGTACACCAGCAGCACAGAGACGAGAAATTCAAGAACACCTCAATTGCTGGGAGAATTTTATTATTTTACTCATCCGTGGGTTTTCGTTGAGGCAACTTCTTTCTAAGAGAATGCAAATGAAAAAGGAAGAGGCCGTACACGGTAGAGAGAAAAAAGCGAACACATGGACCAGGCTTCGTTCATTGTTTCTGTTTTATTTCCCTCATATGGATGTCAGGCAGGACACTAAGTAATGATCTGTCACATGTGCACCTCTCTCTCTCTCTCTCTCTCTCTCTCTCTCTCTCTCTCTCTCTCTCTCTCTCTCTCTCTCTCTCTCTCTCTCTCTATCTATCTATCTATCTATCTCTATCTATCTATCTATCTATCTATCTCTATCTATCTATCTATCTCTCTCTCTCTCTCTCTCTCTCTCTCTCTCTCTCTCTCTCTCTCTCTCTCTCTGAGTATGCACCATTCAGGCACTTTTTGGCAGTTGTTGCCCATTTCATATCTCTACCATCGTGGCTGACACAAGTGTCACGTCCACAGGGTCCTCCCTGCTTAAATCTGTTTGATTCTGTTGTCACACTTGATTTTCTCTTCTGATTTTCTCTTCTAATTTCCCCTTCTTGTTATCAATGGTGCAATATGCAGCAACGTATGTGCTAAGCTAGGACAGACATGGTCAGTCTAGGTCAATTCTCCATTTGTTATGTCTGTGCTAAGGAAGAACAAGCACCGGGAATCCAGGTTCATCCTCCCTTTGCATGGGCATAGAACTTTATATGCTCTTGTCCTGAATTCCTCCGGATCATCAACTCCTCCTTCCTTTTGCTTCCATGTCTAGCGCTCTCTTCCAAACTCCTGGAACAATAGTGCAGGTACTGCTTTCTAAGTTCCAGCTACTTCATGCAAGGTCGATCTTATTTTGAAGGAAGGACCCACGACTTCCCTTTTAGGGTAACTTTCGGCATCACTTTCCCAAACTCTCCTCCTTCCATCTGCGACTTCTTTGCTGCTCACAAAGAGACAGCTAACTAATTGTGTTCATGACATGCGCACGCACGTGGGAGGAGGGAGATCTCGCGCAGATGCACAGAGAGGTATCTGAATAAGATGGATGTATAAGGGAGTCGAGGGCAACTGGAGATGTTAACCCACCACTCCATCCGGACCTGTTTTGACAAACCAAAAGTTGCATTTCCCCGAGCGTATAAACTACAGTGCCGGCGTGAGGGGAAAAATAACTGTGGTACCCTTCCCCACCGAACCTCTACCGGGCCCGGGCATGGTAGATTTTGGCCCCGTATTTGTAGACAAGAAAAACGATCAGTGCGTGGACCATTGGAGTGGTGGTTTCATTGCACGCAAAACAGAGGAGTTCCATGTGCTCAATTTTTTCTTAGCATGCCACGTGGCATGCTACCTTCTTCCCCCGAATAAACCGTACGGTCAATATAGCTGTACTTAAGACTGAAAGATACCCCAAATACAGCTATAATAACCGTACAATGCGTACATTGTATTCGGGTGAAGAAGGTAGCCAAGACGGAAGTACCACTGCCTTTAACAAGGTTTTTGAACCGTTTTTCCCTTATTTTTTTCTGTGAATGATCCACATCGCACCCGTACTTCCCACCGTATAATTTGAATTCATGGCCTCCTTCTAGTGGACAGGTGTGTGTCCAGGTTCATGCCGAGCAGTGGTGGTTCCACACGGCACTGCACAGATTCATGCTGAGGAGTATCCTTGAAGAGTGACGGACCCCTCTTCCCATTATCAATCTCAAACAAATGTCCAATGAGCTTGAAGATGCTTATTTCAACCAGCCACAAGCTTTCCAGGTACACAGCACATTCAGGCCCTATACACAGACCTCTTTTTTTCACCCAAACGACTCGCTTGACGGCCATGTACTTCAATCAGTTTATGAAGACCATACACAGAAACCTTCTTTTCTGATCCAAACCACTTACTTGCGGGCCATGGACAAGCCGATTGTCCCCGTTCCACAGAAGAGGTCAAGAAGAATCTCTGTTGTATCTCCACGCAGCTGACACGCCTCCTCGACCAGTTTATACAGTACCTCTGCCTGTCATGCAGCAACGTTGGAAGTGCAAATTTGGGGCCAAGAATAAATTCAATCCTCGCAAATTCTATACTTCCTTTGCAGAGCATCCAGATTTTTCCCCATTCCATGAAATATGCAAAGAAAGCCAACCTTGAACGCATTGGGTGTGCAATCATTTCACAGTGTCCACTCTATTCACAGAGATTCTACCCAATAAACTCTCCAGCTTTGGCACGAGACAGTGGGCACGGTGGTCCAGTGGAGTGCATGATAAAGCAGTTGCGTTTGAGATAATTCACTATGCCTGGCAGGCAGCCAGGGCAATCTTGGACAAAGCCAGAAAGATGATTGGTAACAGGATGGGGATACCTACAAAGCAGAGCACAATATACAAGACTGAAACCCATATGCCCTGGCTGCCTAGATGTAGGGAAGCTTACCCCCTAATAGCAGACCTCAGAACTGGTGGCTGTGGTCCCAAGGCAGAGGGCAAATCACCACAATGGAAGACAAACTCAATTGGAATGGGGTTAAGCCATTAAGGGTGACATGGACCAGTGAGAGGTTTTTTTTTTTTTTTTTTGGGGGGGGGGGGAAGCAGGGGGGGGGAGGGGTGTGAAGAATAAGGCTTGGCACAACAACAACCACAACCACAACGACAACAATGACAACAGCATTGATGACGACAATGACAACAGCAAACAACAAGAAATAGGAAAGTGGATGCTCTCAGTAACTGGGTTGCGCTATGATCCCGTCCCGATCATGAAGCAAGACAACTTCGACACAATGCCATACATCGCAGCTCGAGACAGGGGCAGATGAAGAATGAAGAGAGAAGCAGAAGACGAATGAAGAAAGAAAGAAGCAGAAGAAGAAGAAGAACACAAAATTAGATAAATGTCATCGACCTCTTCCTCTTGCCATGATCATCTCCCCTCACATATTGCCGCCTCCTCTTATTGACTATTAAATCAAGGGTCAGCACAGCTCTGCCCGTGTCAAAAGGCAGCATAGGGAGGTGGTTGTGTGATGAAGAGACAAAGAAGAGAAGGGTTGAGAGCAGAACAAGGGAGAGTACTTGCATTCCAACAAAGAAACAAACAAAGGTAATTCTCAGGGGACAAAGCTGAAGGAATGTCAGGAGTCAGGACATTTGCCCAAATAATAGTTTTAACATAGTCTGTAATACTCTGTAGGACCAACCCGTAAGTGAACCATGGTCTGTAATACTCTGTAGGACCAACCCGTGAGTGAACCATGGATCGTAGAGCCCAATGTGAAAAACAAAAAGAAAAGGAAACAAAAGAGGAAAATGCAAAGTAGGTAATCAAATTCTACTTCCCATCAATTTTTGGAACCAGGGGAACGTGACAATAGCAGAGCCCCTTGTGGGCTACAATATTTTCCGTAAACCAAAATCAGTCACTGTGTGTCGCAAATGTAAATATCTACAGCAATACAGATGAAGTGGTATATGGCTTCGCATATTTATTTATTTGTCACTTAGTAGCATGTTGTTGTTTTTTTACTCATTTGGAAGTATTTACTTTTTTGAAGTTTTTTTTAACTTTTTTCATATTTGTATTTGCTTTATTCGCTATCAACTTCTTGTAACAGAAAATACTAAAATAGAAAATACAAACAAAAACAGGGATGTGGCTCCATTACCAGGAGGATAAGACCAGGCTATGTGTGGCCTCAACAATGCTTTGGACCTGTCAGTGAGCATGCTCGAACGTGGGACCTACAGGTCATAGGGCTTTTGATTGTTGGCATGGCATGTAGGGAGGTCTCAACATTCAACCCATGAAGTCGTATCGGGACTCGTATGGTCTAAGGCCCTGGAATTTGAACAAGAGGTACATGAGACAGGGGGTAGGCTGAATCGGATGAGTGAGTCCGGACCTAACAGTGAGGGGATTCGTTTTGAAACGACAGCTAATTTTAGAACTTTGTGTATTTTTTATCCTCTTCAATAAACAGAACGATTAGCGTGTCCTTTCTAGAATCACCCTTTCTATGGTCCCAACGCTTCATTGTCCTTTAGTGGTGTTTGTCCACTTCTAATAAATAGAACGATTAACGTGTCCTTTCTAGAATCACCCTTTCTACGGTCCCAACGCTTCATTGTCCTTCAGTACTTCTGGAGATGTCAGCATGTGAGCGGTGGGGGCAAGTTAGCTCAGGACAGGGTGAACGACTGTTACATGCTGCGCAGTTGGCGGCAAACCTCCAGATGAATGAGACTGAACGGCAGCAAGTCAAAACTGGTCAAGGTGCCAGAAACCGACCGAACGAACGTGATGTCTGGACATATCAGTCTTTGAATTCAACACATGTTTTGCGCATGACGAGAGTCGTCTCAACTCCTTCGAGCTGAGCATGGACATGGCCCGGACTGGAAGCGGAGGCGATAAAGCAATGACCACAGCAACAAAGGAACCGACAACGTTGGTTTCATTTTTTGCGATGAGAAGCCCCGCTTCTCGCCTCCAAAAACTTCCATGCTGTGATGTTATTTAATCTGGCATGTCATGCTATGCTGTATTATGCTGTGCTGTGTGATGATGTAGGGTGCTTTGCCATGAGGTCGCTTGCTGGGTCATCGTGTTCTCTGCTGTGTTGTTCTGTGCTGTGCCGTGCTATTTTTATTTTTTATTTTTTTACCTAGGCTACCAGAGTGACCCGGGGTCACTTGCCCGGCCGGGCCAAAAAAAAATAAAATAATAAAAATAAAATAAATATTTTTGAATTTTATTTTTTATTCTAAATTTGGTGAAGAATTTCGATGTGACCCTGAGGCAAAAGTTGTTCAGTTTATTTTTCTGCATCACATAGTTTTTTGGGGGATTTTTTTTTTTTTTTTGCTGGGGCCTTCCCTGGTC